TTTAAACCAAAAACTCACTTCATGCCACTTCCTGTGGGTTTCTGGTTTAAAAACTATCTTATGTCCTTTCTCGAGGTCGAAACTATGTCTGTACCAAATTTCACACAAATAGGTTGAGTAGTTTAGGCGTGAAGAAGAAAAGACAGATAGACAGACAGACAGAGTTACTTTCGAATTTATAATATTAGATTGGATTTCCAGTAAAAATTTATGAAAACTACCGAACCGATTTTAATGATAATCATACGCAATATATGTATAAAGGATTTTGTATGGATGTAAAGGATTTAAAAGAAATCAACAAATGTAGAAAATCTTTAAATTAAGCTTAGCACACTTATTCTTAAGACAAGACTAAGTAATCGTATTCGTATATGAAAATTAAGTTATGGTAAGTGCTTTCAAAATCTATTCAGGTCTATGGGTATGGCCACGGACTATGGGCAAACAGCTTCATTATACAAGGAATTTGATAATGAACGAGTGGGAGGCAAACTAAAGATCAAAAGCTTATGGAAATATTTACAACTAGGAAACAGTTATGAAATGAAACAGTACAAAATCACGCTACCCTTTTAATAAATTGAAACTACAGGACCGCACATCAAGATATCCCAACCACCAATTTCATTATAAATATACATTTTCAACTTTATTCTAATGGTGTAAGATTGAAAATACGTTTAAGATATTATGTAGAAGGTATAGCTTAATCTGCGTAGTAACTAATTCATGTTGATCACGCACCTGTTGCTGTACTGTTCAAACTGAGAAGTATTTGTTGATCAGTTTGCGTCTATTAAATCTTATAGGCATTGCTTTACTGCTATAAGAATGAATTAATGTTTAACAGAATAACTTACTAGAATGTATTTAAAAAAAATGTTCATAAATTATTTGGCACCTAAATTGTATTGTTTCCAAAGAAAAGTAGGTTAATTACTTTTGTCTTTCTAAGACCAGAAAATCTATCAGTACATTGTGTACTATAGAATACTTATTACAGCTCAAATTGCCAAAGCAAAAATAAAATGTATTCCACAAAATTTTATTAGGCTGAAGTTCTGTTATTTTAATACATCCCACTCTTAATCAATTTATTATATGAATAAAACTATTAATCATGTATTGAAACGTCAAAATTAAAATATAATACATGCAATTAATTTACAATCCCTTGATCTCAGCACTTAATAGGCTTTATCCTGGCAATATTTCAAGGTGGAACCTTTTTTGCCAGGCAGGGTTGCCAAGGAAAGGGTTGTTTTTTAACGCTGGCAACTAAACAGCTGGGCTGCGCTTACGCACCGCTTGCAGAAGCCAGGTGTAAGTTCTTCCTTTGCTTATAACAACCGTTAAATTATATGAAAAGGTACAATCCAAGTTTACTAGTTTGTCCATCGGTTTTGTACGATTTCTGCAGATGTTGTTTAAATGTATTTCAGTTTGTTTATAGGTAGGCCTGCGTAAAGTAAAAGTAAAAATGTATTTGTAGTTGAATTTAGAATTTTATTTTATCTGTGTGTAAAATTAGGCCTCGATAAAGTAACCGTTGTCATTTGTCAAGTGATCATCTTCTATATTTGTTTTTTTTTTATTTATTCGTCGGTACGGTCATCAAGTACACAAAGTGGTTTGATTGTTGGAAACATCCTGTCCTCAGTTAATCCGTATTCGCAATATTATACTTGAATACTATAATTTATAGGAGGAAATCTTTACTTAGGTAAATAAATAATAATTTCTTCAGTGTCCTATATACTAAGATAAACTTATACTTAAATCATGAACTTGTCACGTCATTTAAAATTTGGAAGTATTTATATGTTTTTATGTAAGTATTGTTATAAATAAAATTTACTTCATTCTTCACTTACGTATTTTCTGAGACTGCATTGTCTACCCGGGTTGCAGGTGCAAATATCGTAGTAGTAGCGCGATCCGGCTCCAAGTAGAAGAACGACCAGAAGATTTTAGTCGGTATGAGTCTGACACTCATCCTCTCCCCGCCCAAGAAAGGGTAAGTCATAGGACAAAAGAAGGTCCATTGTAGCCAAATCATATAATATCTACTTTCCTTTATCGCGAACAATAAGACACTTTCTAATGGCCTTTGGTCGAAAGACCGTTTATCGATAGCTATGGCATTTTTAGATCGAATATTTTATTGTATTATTACATTAAAATGCAACGATTGAGAAAATTTTAAAGTAATAATTATTGTTTGTAAATTACGGTAGATAACAACATTTTATCTAAGCTTTATGACAAGATGTGGTTAAAATAATAATAAATTCAATCACGGTCATGCTGAGCAAGTATGATTTATCTAAATGGGTGCAAAATATAGTTTACTAAACAAATTGTTAACATAATTACAGTATAACAAGTACACAATAAGCGATTTTCGATCAACGTAGGTGGGCGTCATTCTAATGAATCGATTTCGTTATTCGATTGCATTTGAATCGATACCGATAAAGTTGTTATAATAATAAAACTATTTAATAATATTCTGATATTATTTTTGTAAACATTGTTCTAGTGTTGGTTTTATTACGGTACTTTGTCAGGTTTACAGAGAATTCGAGAGTTTGAGTGTGAAAATATTATTATGGCTGATTCTGTCTGCTAGTCATAATAAGACTTCACAGAGACTAATGAATAATTATAGAAATATCAGTCGAATCTAATACAAATTTCGTGACAACAATAACATCTAAATTAGGCAGGTTTTCTTAAGGTCACGATAAGGACAAGCCAAGGTTTAATAGACTAACCATTAGGTTGAAATTATATGACTTATGCAAAAACAAAACAAAATCATAAAACACAAAAACACTCAACAAAATAGAACTATGAATAATTTTACTATAAAGAATAGGTAGGTACTTTAAAAGTAGCTATACGATACATTAAGTATTAAATTTTCATAAATTCGCTCATTCTGATTTCTGGCAACAAGTACAACTAGCAATGTTCAGTTCATTCTGTTTTCACCAAGCATTGTAAGCCAAAACGATAAATTAAAAACATATCGTCGCCCAAGACAAGTTGTTTAAGTGGCCCGATAATGTTCTCACTTGCATAAACCAAGTGATCAATAAAACCAATAGTTTTATAGTCTAAGATTAATCTTAAACTGGAGCAGAATTTGCTGTTATACAACTTTTGCTATGCAAATCTTGGTATGTACACCTCAAAGACTTTATTTCTAGAACTATAAGGTCTATTATTAAATTGTTTATTAAATGATTTCAGTTCTTAAATTCTAATAGCGATTTATTGGTTGCATTTGAATGTGATTGGGAAGAAGTTGCGTGCATAGGTATTTATGCAATCTTCTTAGCTGACTGATGTACTTGTCTGTGTAAGGCTACTGCATGCCACAGTGCAATGTGTTTGCATAATCAACGTATAAGTTACTGTTGGAATTAGAATTAGGTCTGTTGTTCTAAATAAGGATTTATCACATCATCAGCCTGTAAGTGTCCACTGCTGAGTAAAGGCTTTTCTCATACAAAGAAAATTTTGAGCAATTAATCACCACGCTTGCTCAAGGCTGACTGGCGATTTCAAACTAATAATTAGAAGGTCCATGTTTCCTTGCGATAATTTACTTCACCGGGTGTCAATGTTGTCTAAATAATCATTATAAACATAGAAAGTACATAAAATTCGGAAAAGTCACATAGGTGCCAGAGTTTCCAGATTTCGACGTTGTGCCCTTATGCTTGAGGAGCGGGTGCCATAACCTTCGGTCCACCACGATAATAACCACGATTTCTTATTTTTTGATATGTTCTGTATTTAACTCTGCACATTTAAGATTCTTTATTTTATTGATAGGTACGTAATAAAAATCTCTAAAAAAGGCTTAAATTACCCTTTTTAGGTAAGATGAAACTGAGAAAAACATCAAAACACGTGACAGATCTTATTAAATTAATAAATGATTATTTACCTATGTTGATAATGATAAGGTAGGCTCACAGCTTATACATTAGCTTTACGAGCTAACCAACATTCTTAAAATTATGCATTATAACATGTTTTCGTTCGCAACCGCCCTTAGAATGGGTACACGATTAAAACAACAAATCGGTACGGCCAAATCATTACCCCGGCCAGCTAGTAGCGACCGTTTGAAATATAATGGCAATATATCATTTAACAATTTATCTCTACGATTACGAGATCGTCACGATATCGTGAGACTTTGTTTGAAAGTATACGCCAACCTACCAGTAACTACTTAACGATATTATTAGTTAATATACTTACTGTTTTGGCATAAGTATGTAGTTTTAGAATTCTGATAATTGTTATAAACCTTAAGAGATGTCGAATGAAAAACTAAGGAGTAGTATCCAAGTATTTTCTTTATCTTCGATGAGATATCCTAAACATGATTTTATAATATTAACATTCATTAAAAAAACAATATGTATCTTATGGAGATAAATATTAGGAGTGTCGAAGATCAGATTTATCGAAAGTAATGTTATAAATTCTCATGATACATTTTTCAACCCATGTCTCGGAAATAATCAACTGACGTTCAGGTGCCTATATGGGAACTAATCTTCATGACTCTGACTTCATTTATAACTTTACTTATTTTTGTATCAAAATGTACCCAGCTTTTACAAACTGATATCAAATTCAAACATGTCAACACATAGAAGCATTTCTTCCGTGTGAAATGAACGTAGACTGCACAAGTAATCATTATAAAAGAACTCTTAACACGTTAACGATGATTGCATTAACCATAAACCACCACTAATTGAGCCGTCAACTCTTAGAATAAGACAAAAAACTAATGAAAAATGTACAAGCAAGAATTTTTCATACAACTCTAACTAAACCGGCTTATCTTTTTGCTAACATCAACATAGATCAAGTAACCACTGGTTTCAAGCTCGCTAACTACCCGTGTCGAATTGAAAACGAATCGACAACCGCACATAATGGATGTTACATAAAACTGTACTTACGCAGAAATTATTACACCGAAGTGTTCGCATTACTCAAATTATTCTGCCTCCTCGTGAATCTGTAACAATAAATACAACAAGTTATAAATGAGACAATAAAATGTGTTCTAAAGTAAAGAAAATAATTAAAAATGAAAAGCTTTCAATACTGATGTAGATGAAAATGACAAGTTGGCTGTTGCACCATTTTTTGTTACCAAAGCAGGAAATGCTACAAGTAACATTTGAACAAATCGCAACACAGCAAAGAGATTCTTACAATACAACCACGATGTTCCCAATAATCAGAACCTAAATCGAAAGGCATCGTTCTAAGAACCCATCGCTTCCTAAAGCAACAAAAAGTTGCATCATGATCCTTAAGGTCAGCTCCCAACATTGTCTAACTACAATGGCAATTGTGAGAAAGAATCGCCAAGAGAACAATAGAACCAAGTAAGCAATTAGCAGTGCCAATTAAATATTTGTTTAAATAGCATTTTGTTGTGGTCGATTTGTTGGCGCCTAAGAAAGATGGACGGTGAAATTGGAAACAGACGTTGCAGATCCGTGTTTTATCCCTTCAACATATATCTTATCGTATGCCACATAATGTTATCTATTAATGCAGTATTAATGCAGTTTCATTTCTCCGCTAACGTCTACAAATGTTACAAGCTTAATCAATCTCTTTAGCTTTATTTTATTGGCATACTTATTCCACATATGCATGTAATTTAAATATTCAACAGATATCAATTTGTACAGATCAGGGGTAATCTTGATTTAATGGTTTTAAAATACAAAATCAATCATATAAATGTATTGGAACAGGAGCACGAACTGCTCGAAAGAAATTAACTTCAAGGGAAAATATGCAATCAAAGAACCATACGAATATGACAGAGCATACGCAGATTGTTTCTTAATAATGGAGTAAATATGAAAGGTCTAGATCAAAATTATAGTATACGCAAAATCATGTCCAACGATTCAGTTCAATGTAGGAATTTAACCATAGGTTGGCAATAATTGATTTCTTGGAAACATAATGTAGAATAAAAGATCGTCTCAACATTGTTTCTGTAGGATTAAAAACAGGCTTTTCTTCTGCAAAGTGCTTATCGACGAAGTTTAAACAGAATAGCTGTAGATTATTCAAAAGTATTTTTTTGCATTTTTAGCTGATAACATTAGTATAGCGCAATTAAGTAAAATGATCTAATATGATAATATAATAGTAAAATGATATATAAAAGAATGTTACTACTACGGTCACACGATCACAGTATATCGGTGTGAAATAACTAAAGCGTTTTGTTTTGTCGTGTGAGTCAGGATACCGGAGGCCCGATCCTCCCCACCCTACCTAATCCTCCTAAAAACGTCTCTTCCTCTGGTGTCCATGGAAGGCGTTGATTGATTACCATCAGGTAATCAGTCTCTTCGTTTGCAGCCCTACGAAGAAGCAGAAGCCATAAGAAGGCCAACATGTCAAATGGTTGATTTTCATTTTTGCTAACCATATTGCACATCACGTAAAAGCAGTCATGACAAAGACACACTTTCTTCCTGTAAGACAAAATTCCAAAGAATATTTTTACCATATTGTATATGTATGGAGACAATAAAAATGTATAAAAGAAAGATAATACAACCCTTGCATAAGTGATGTCAACGTTGCGGTGCGTGGGCGCATAGTGGGTGTGGGAACCGGTCCACGTGACTCACGTATTGGTCAACAATTTTGGTGGTACGAATTACGTCATTAAATTAATAGAAATAGGGTTGAATTGTTTTAAAGCTACGTGTAAACTTTTGTCTATTGTGATAGGGAAATAAACTTGTAAAAATATCCTTAAATTTAAGAGCAAATCAATGATTAAATTGTTTAATAACAATGAGAATCTGAGGACCTGTAACTTTTTCCTATGGGTGTTAAAAAATTTTATGAAGTTAGATAGTATAAAAAATATTGCCGCGATTTTAAGGATCTCAGTAGTGGAAGCATCGAGGCACGAGAAAAACAGACATTTCTGTTTTACCATATTGGATCTCAAATGATAAATATGAGATTAAAAACTGAAGATTCTAATCGATACATACGGTATGACTAAATGTTTTCCCACAAGACTAAGTTCACAATTAATGGCGTCAGGTAGCATGTAGTCTAGTGGGATAATAACTTAATTCCATTGGCTCATATTAGTTGCGAGACTTGGGAAGTACCTTTCCCTTCTAAATCAATATTTATTTTAGTTTATAGATTTTATAATGTAACCAGCTTCGCACACTCTACGGAGAGTTAAAGTAAAATTATCGACATGCAAAAATATCATACCAACATTTCACTCAATAAGGAAGTAGGAAGATTAAGTCTCACCGCCTTTGTCGTGGCTGTTTTAAACTATTAAGCAATTGATATTTACAAAATTAAGTTAGTTCCACAAAAAAACACGAGACCCGACTTTTCAAAACATCGATTATGTATTGGTACTCAGTAGTTAGGAAATTCCGGGGTTGCGAGGCAAGCGCCATAAGGTACCGCGGCCTCAGCTTGAATCACGAAAAGGAACGTGGGGGAGTTTTAAGAGCCTGACACTTTTTCTCGCCTTACCCTGGACAAGAGAAAACATTTGATGGTTTTCGCCTACAATAGAAGAAGTTAGGTAAATGCACAAATTGCTCGGGCCTTAAGAGAAGGCTTACCACTTTAAATTAACTAAAAATCGCGGGTATATACTGAGAAAAGCTCTACTAGTTTCGGACCACAGAGGCCACAGGCGCAGCGCGGCGATGTCGCAGACTGTAAGCTGTCTAACGATAGTTATTATAAAAATTGACTACTTTTTATAAAAAAAATACAAAGTTATTCAATTTATTGTTTTTTTTTTGTTTCAAGACGAGATTGAGAGAGAAAGACACGCTAAAAACATTTTATTATATTTTGATCAACACAATCAATCATGCTAATCTTCGATAGTCGGCTAGTTTCCGTATGTTACGCCACGTCTGTTCTCTACTGATAACTAGTTTGACTAGGCACAAACTAGATCGATCATTAATATATTTACGAGAAACGATATTTGTATCAAGTTAACGATGTTTTATTGGTATCATTATGATCTTTTTTGTCCAATAAGATTTTTTCTTGTGACTTTTGTAAGGTAATAACTACTCATTATTAGTTTTATAACTTTATTTATATCTCTATTTTGGAACAGTAATTTGAATAAGTTTTAATTTAAGGTAATTCTAATAATTACTGATTTTTACTCAGAAAATTTTCTTCTTAAAGTTAATGACCGATCAACATGCGCTGATAGAATTCCATAGCGTTGTTTAAAGAGTAACAAAACAGTTAAACGATGAAGATTCTGCGGCTGATGTTCCTAACATGAAACCATTCTCACACACATCACGATAGTACAGAATAATCGTGCTGCAACATTGTAACAGATTTCCAAGCCATTTACTACACAGTTCAGTTTAGTAGAATACTTTCCAATGCGACTAGGCAGTCATTCATAAAAATTACCTCTACGTGCCACCCAAAACGCTATCTATCACGCAAAGAATACCTAGTTACCCACTTAATAAAATTGCAACCAAATATCATAGAATCGTAACTCGATGCAATCGATATTTCGTAATCAAAGTCGATAAGTACTTACATATCGATTGATGTTATGTAGGGGACGAACGACACGGTACGATAAAAAAAAGAATAGCAGTTTCATTTTCGGCTTTCGCTGCGTGGGTAGTAAGGAGTGACAAGAACGAAATCATTCAAACAAACATGAACAGGTTGAATAAATAAGCATTGAATATAATAGGAATTCTGATCACAGAACAAGATTTATTTGTGCCACACTGGTAGTCTGTGCTAACGACGTATTTAGTTAGCCGACTGAGATCTCAATACTGGTCAAAAGTTTATCTATACCTATAGATAGAAATAAATAATGTCATATATCTTACGTCTCAATACTGTTAAGGAAATGGTAATTTAATTTACGTATACTGTGACGATAAGATCTTGATGCAATTTGACGTTTTCTTAGATACCAGTAACAATATTAATGCATCAAATGGTGAGACGGAGAATGAGATACAAATCATGTACACTGCTTAGATCGTTGTGATAAAACGTTGTGTTAATATTGCATTCCTCTACAATGCTGTAAATGATTTACAAATGAAGCCTGAATTCCTACGAACCTAAGGAATGAGCAAGACAACTATAATAAGTCTTTGGCAGATTTTGTACTAAAATAGCTATAGCAAGGCAATAAAGTCTAGTAACTTACGAACAACTTCTAAGGCATTAGAAGTGGCAATAGAAAGCCCTCTAATTCTTATAAATGCAACCAAAAAAGCCGTTACTCAAAAAAATCCGTCGTTGTCTCTGACACATATGAAAAATAGTAAAATGACCCACTTGAAATATACCAAGCATAAGACGAAACAAAGCTGCTAATTTAGAATGCAGTACCCATGAATTTTTACTCAAAACTCAAAAGCTCATTAGCTAACCGTTATGAAAGTCAATTAAGATGTCCAAACTTTCAAAGAAACTTGGTTCTTGCTTCTGGTAAACAAAGATGACGTTTTAAGCAAATGAAGCCAGTAATTAGTAGTTTTGCCTGTGGTCGACGTGCTCAGAATTATAATGAGTATGGAGACAAAGCTATGATTGGAGAAAATACCAGGAGATATGTATGTTTCTAGTGTAGCTTACAAATTGCTACTTTATTAACAACCTTATGATAACTTAGGTATGCGTAAGTCTAGGGCTCCCGAAATTGACTATTTATATATTTTCGAAATTAAATCTATTACTAAAATTAGAACTATAAAAAACATTCGAACACGAACAACATCAACAAATGTTTCCTCATCATTATCGCGAAGTAGTCTGCCCAAAAGAGTGGCTTCATTGCCACGTTTAATAGTTAGTCTCTTTATATTTTTTCTACTATACCATATGACGTTAAAACTCTTAAGATATGCCTATATTTGCCCGAGCAAATAATCTCTTGTAATGTTGTATGTTCGAAGTCATAAAACAATGAAAATA